TTCTTGGCCATATCCGATAACGTTTCGAGCCATCGATTTGAGCTATCTCTCGGACCCCAACCAGGGAGTCGTGACACACCAACCGATGCTAATCTAGCACAAAAATCCTTCATCCCACGACGCCACGTCATGGACTGACCACCTCTCCGCCTTTTCCATCCCGTCCCAGGGCTAGCGAACAGAGACCTGTACGGAAGCCTCTGGGGTGACATTCGCAGCACATGTCCAAGCCACCGGAGCCGGTGTTTCCAGATGACGACATTCAATGAATGGTGATCTCCACTTTGTTCAAACACACGCCGCCGAACCTCAGAATTACTCACGCGATGATGCCATCGAACGCAAGCAATCCTGCGGAGACAGCGGTGATCGAACACGCAGAGTCGCCGCACATCCTCAGCTCGGAGAGGCCAGGTTTCACAGGCGTAGAGCAGCGCAGCCCGCACCGAAGCATTGTATACCCGACCTTTGACAGCCAGGCTAACGTCGCGACGGCGCCATAGGTGGCTCAAGTTGATGTATGCCACCCTAGCCTTCATTATACGGTTGGAAATCTCATCCGTCACCCCTCCGCCAGCACTCACACAACTACCCAGGTACACAAACTTATCAACAACTTCAAGCGGTTCACCCGCAAGAGTGAGTGCAGGTACAGGCTCCTGCCAATCTTGTAACAGTACTTTGCACTTAGACGGCGCAAAGCACATACCATACTTACAGACACTGATCGCCAACTGATTAAGTGCGATTTGGGCAGCCTGCATGCTATCGCACAGTAAGACGATATCGTCTGCATACTCGAGGTCGAAAAGTCTATCTCCAGGTAGCAGATCTACACCACCTTCACGCACATCCTTCAGAGCTGACTCCAGAATGTCATCGATGGCAAAGTTAAAGAGAAATGGAGAGATTGGGCAACCCTGTCTAACCCCACTGTTGGTTGGGAACAGTGGTGATAGTTGGTTGTATGCCCTCACTCTACCTGAGGTGTTTCTGTATAGGGCTTTCAGGATGTTAACAAATTTCTCAGGTACACCTCTCTCTAACAGACAGTTCCAGAGCACAGTTCTGTCCAACGAATCGAAGGCAGCCCTAATATCAAGAAACACAACGATCGTTGGCCTGCAATACGTGTGGCGGTGTTCCAACAACTGACGAAGGGTGAACACATGATCAATGCATCCACGACCTGAACGAAACCCAGCCTGCTCTTCGCGAATCAATCCTTCACGTATTTTGCACAGTCTGCGAAGCAAGACAGCAGCCAATATTTTAGACGCGACTGGTAACAGACTGATACCCCTATGATTGTCACACGAATTACGTCGACCCTTTTTAAAGATGGGGACGATAATGGCTTCGTTCCACATTGATGGTACACTCTCTGTCTCCCACACCTTCCTGAACAACCCAGTTAGAGCCATTGTGAGAGTCTCGCCACCATCTTTAAAAAGAGCCGGGGGTAATTTGTCTGGGCCGGGCGCCTTATGGCGTTTCAGAACTTGGAGTTCCTTACGGACCTCCGCTTCGGTGGGTGGGTCGGTACTAACCGACCAAGGAGCACTCGGGCTAATGATAGTAGACACTGAAGCTGGTGGCCAGCTGAACTGCTTCCCGAAGTGCTCTGCCCAGCGTTCCAGGCGTCTTTTCAGGCTGGTAATTGGAGTGCCATCTGCCTCACAGACCGTCTCGCTGACACCTTGTTTCTTGCTGCCGGTGGCTCGTATGAGTTGGAACAGCTTCCGACTGTTGCCAGATGCAGCAGCTGACTCCATCTCACACGCACGTTCTGACCACCAGGCTTCGCGGTCCTTACGTAAACACTGTCTAATCTTGCGCGTGAGCGCCTTTCGCTGATTGTTGTATTCGCTGCCAGCCGGAATGGACCGGCGTTCATCCATGAGTTGCAAGGAACTCGCAGAAACCCAGTGGTTGTTAGCGGAGCATTCTTTCAAGCCGCAAGCGGCTACACTCGCCTTTTGCATGGCACCTTGCACATGAAGCCAATGTTCATCTATACTACTTGGGGGGTTGCTGGCAAGCATTGTTTTTAACTCATTCTGATATTTCAAAGAAGTAGCAGGTGCTACTAGTTTGCTCACATCAACGCTTAGACGACGGCTTTTACGAACCCCACCAAATCGCAAGACGAACTTGGCACACACTAACGCATGATCGGAGTCCAGGCATGTGCTCCAGAAGGAGCGACAGTCTTGTATGCATCCTCGCCACCGGAAACTGACCGCGATATGATCAATCTGAGTCCAAGCTTGCTTCGCAGAGGGAGGACGCCAGGTAGCGCTACGGCGATGGCTGTGCCGGAAGTTGGTGCTAGCTAGAAATAGGTTGTGATCCGCGCAAAGCTGCAGAAGACGGTCCCCATTATCTGACCTGCGACCATGTAGTCCCCACTGACCACCTAGACGATTCTCCTCTGAGCTTAGACGCCCCACCTGTGCATTCAAGTCCCCAGCCAGCACTACGATATCCCTCCGACCCGCCTGTTTCAAGAGATCGCTCAGTTGGTAGTAAAACTCATCCTTCATTGCATCCGGGCTGCAATCCGTCGGTGCATAGGCAGAGACAACAAATAGACACCGCCTATCTGGCCTACTACTCTTTACTTTCGTATAACCTTCCAGCCTCACAGCACATAAACGACTGTTAATGGGAATCCAGTCGAGCAGTGCAGCTTCGGCTCTAGCGCTCAGTGCGACACCGACACCAGCTACGCCGGATGCCGACGCCACAGGGTCCCCGGATAAGCGCAGGTGGTACATACTACTAGAACTTCCAGATGGAGAGGATAGTCGAAGCACTTCACTGGGATCTTGAATGCGGGTCTCCGAAATGCAGCAGACATCGATAGCGAGGCTTTCCAAAGTTCTTGCCAACCCTGCCTGTTGTCCGATTTGCATCAGCGTCCGAACATTGTAGGTAGCCAGCTTGAACGCAGCACGCGGTTTCAGGATATCCGTGTTAGATGTCACATTGGGAACAACCATTTTGAGGACTACTCACTAACATCTCGAAACGACACGGATAGGCTGGGAATCTCGACAAAGGCGAAAGGCTGTCGAAGGTTAAGAAGCCAAGGTTAGAAAAGGTACAATACAGGAAACTATGTATAAAAATAAAAGTAGGGTAGGAAGGAAATAAGTTCTTTGAGGGATCAATATTGCTTGGAATCATTTTTACTAGCGCGCGTTGAGTTTCAATGGGAGTTCGTTGCTTTAATTCATTCATTGTGTGCGGGCTGAGATACTGCCCGGGCGCCCAGACCGAAGCAGGTGGTTTTATTAAGGGACCACCCCCGAGCCTTTGACTTGGAGTCTAATCCGCAAGGCAGCGGAGCAGCGTCAGGAGCTGCATTCCCATGGTTGCCGGTGACCCAAATGGGTTCATACGCCATTTGATCCGATTGGAAACTGGAGCCCATGTACCCCATGGTAACTGCTTTTAGTTTAACCGCTATCCAGAAAACCTTCCTGACATGGTAGGACCTGTAGAGACAGAGTCCCAGTCAGTTCAGCTTGTTGGGTCATTGCGGTATTCAAGCCCGACCACCACGACAAGGTAGCAGTTATCGTCTGATTATTCTATAAATAGTCAGTGTTTGTAACTCTTAATTAAAACAAGCAATAAAGGTTAATAAAGCAGTATGATTTAATGAATTCATCAAATTTCGGTAGAACTCGTCAGCTGAATACTCTACATACACGGATATATATACTTTTGAAATTACATTGGGAGATATAAGACTGATAAGTAAACAAACTACATTGAATTAGTCATGGAGAAAGACAGGCAAAGACAAAGAAACAAGAAGATGCTTGCAATTACAGAGGCTTGTGCGATTCGAATTTATAAACCAGGTCTCTGTGTACAAAAGGAGATGGTCGTGACTCTGAATCTACCATGGTAATACGTTTTACTTATTATTCTCTACTTGTTATTACTATTATTCTACCTCTTCTTATTATTATTGTTATCATTATTATTATTCTTGATTCATTTAAAACTATGTTTCATCAGCAAGATTATCTTAACTCACTTCAACACTATTATTACTATAACTAATAACAACACTGTTATTATTATAACTATTACTATTGATATTAGTCTGTTTGCAATTCTCGTTATATTCCCTAATGACTGATTGTTTATCTAAGTGATGTAATTGAGGCGTAATGCAATTTATCTTAATTTTGATCTCTCATACTCTCTTTCCCCTAATCTCTTTGAACATGACCTGGAAAACATTCTCACCTGTCTTTCTGCATGACTAATTCAATGTAGGTTATTTGTGCTTATCAGTCTTATATCTCCCAATGTAATTTCAAAAGTATATATATATATATATATCCGTGTACGTAGAGTATTCAGCTGACGAGTTCTACCGAAATTTGATGAATTTATTAAATCATACTGCTTTATTAACCTTTATTGCTTGTTTTAAATTCGTATCGGGAAATAAATATTTTCAACTCTTAATTAGTTAAATCATTCCAGACTAATGTTACTTTTACTTTACTATCAATTACTCCTTGTGATCGTGGAAAAGTATGTTCAAATCTTCAATGTAATTCATATTGTTTTTTTATCGTTCAGGTTGTAGCCAGTTGAGATGAGCTCATATTATCATCCCGGTAAAATTGCTGTTCTTGCTTTGTTCACCTTTATTACTGGAAAGAATTGCATGAAGTCTGTTGACACTGTCTGTCATCTGTTCGACTGACTTGTAACCTTTATTTATGTGAAGACGTTTTTCAGACTATAAATATCCAAGCTATAGATTAGGGCACATTTTAAAATCTAACATTTTATATATATACATAGATTACCAACTTTAATTAATTAAAAACGAGTCAGTAGTATTTAACATGCATATTACAAAGTCAAGATATTTTCACATGGTGGTAATGTGTATAGAAAATGTCTTCCGAAAAAGAAATACAAAATGTGTTGTTGTTGTTTTTTTTTTAAAATAATTTCGTTACCTGCCACTTCTGTCTTCTTCCTCTACTTCTGCTTCCACATTTCTTGAACGAAGCATTCTTGCCATTGATAAACCATAAGAATTTAATGCTTCATGAGAATTCCTAGTGTATTCAGACGCCGATGTCATAAAATACGCCGATCCGAAGGAATTAAAGCCTATGCAAAAAATAAAAATTATATATATATTTTACAGTCCAGAGAGATATCCAATGCCAATTAACAGTACTATGTAAATAGAGTGTGTGTGTGTGTGATAAATATTGATATTCAAAATGATACGATGCATTTATGACACAACACAACACAGCACAATACAAATCATTAATCGATAACAATCAATTTTACTTGATAGTGTTGTAAAAAGGTTGACATTGTACAAGCAGACAGGTAAAATTTCGCATTTATCTTGAAGCAAAGCATTTTATTGAAGTTAATTTTTTTTTAAATATTGTTGTAAGGATGATGAAGAGTTTTTAGAAAAATAAATAAATACATGACAAGAAAAAGGAGGTGTGTGTATTGCAAATTGAAATAAGTCACAAGGATAAAGTAAACCTTAGTCGCCAACACATCAACCTCAACATGAATTTACAAGCAAAACGACATACAAATAAATATAGGTAAACAATATATATATATATATATATATATATATATATATATATATATATATATAACTAAGATGAAAACTGAATAAGTGTGAAATAAAAGAATAAAAGAGAAATTGTCAATCAATAAATTTATGGACTAACCCGTTTATATAATGAACGATTTCAAAAAGACTGAACATTTTATGGAATGCTGATGAAACAGTACTACGAGTATTTACAAACTGCGTAAAACCAGGTGGGCTTCAAGTCTGTACAGGTTTTGGAATATAAGCATACTTAGCCGTGCCAACCCGGCCGATAACTGCTACCTTGTCGTGGTGGTCGGGCTTGAATACCGTAATGACCCAACATGCTAAACTGACTGGGACTCTGTCCCTGCAGGTCCTACCATGTCAGGAAGGTTGTTTGCATAGCGGTTAAACTAAAAGCAGTTACCATGGGGTACATGGGCTCCAGTATTCAATCAGATCAAATGGTGTATGAACCCATATGGGTCACCATCAACCATGGGAATGCAGCTCCTGACGCTGCTCCGCTGCCTTTCGGTCTAGACTCCAAGTCAAAGGCTCGCGGGGTTGTCCCTTAATAAAACCACCTGCTTCGGTCTGGGCGCCCGGGCAGTATCTCAGCCCTCACATAATGAATTGAATAAAGCAACAAACAATCAATGAAACTTATCGCGTGCTATTACACGTGTTGCAATTTCCTTCTTTCTTCCCTTCCCGATGATAGCTAACGAACACTGTTTGAACTTGTTAAGCATGACTGTTTTCCTTCCAGATGAAGTTCTTTATCCGTTCTCTACTTATATAAATATATATTCTCTCTTCTTTCTTTTGATCTATGTTGTTTTATTATTATTGTGTGGCGCATCCTTCTTGGTGCCATATTGTACCAACTTTTTATGCGTTTGAATAAATAAATAATAAATATTGTTTGATTGGTTAAAGGATTTCATTATGAACTGACATCGGTCAGAGAACCATTGAAAAACCATCTGGGAGTACTGGACAGCTGTTTCCGTTGTCCTAGTTTAGGACTATTCATCAGTATGCTAAGTGGTCACGCTATGTTGTGGATTGGCAGAAGTTAGCATTCATGGACTGGACATTGGATCGCAGTCCGAGGGCTAGCTAGCTCGCCGGCCTTGTAACCAGAAGGTCCTGCGTTCGAATTCCGCGGTGTGGGTGCGTACTGATGAAGTGCCCCAAACTAGGAAAACGGAAACAGCTGGTTTTCCAATGGTTCTCTGACTGATGTCAGCTTATGATGAAATCCTGTAACCAATCAAACAAAATCCCTAGAAACTTATACTTGATAATATTTCTTATCTGACATTGAAAGGTGTCGGAAAAGTATATATTGTACCCATACAGACACTCCACTTGAACCCTTACCGTTGAGTACGAGCTTATGATGATAGACGGTGGTGTCCGTTAGGGATGCTCATTATACCCATTCCTGTTTAATTTCATCATAGATATATTAATAGAATTGATGCTAACTGACTTCAGCCACTTAAGGACTTCTTACCAGGGCAGCCTTGCAGAATTAGAGTATGCGGATAATATTGCCTTCCATGCTAGGTGAAGACGCTGAAAAATGCAAAACCTTCTAAAAACCTTGCGCAGAAACCTTGGAATGTTTGGCATACAATATAGGATGATGCCGGAGGATTGGACTATACCGACTCGCAGCTTAAAGATATGGAGTGAAGTGGTAGGGGGGGGGGGTTCTGATCACTTCACTTATTTAGGAAGTTGCATTAGCCCCAAAGCACTGAATGCTGATGAAACCTCAGGACGGATATAAAGGGATCGTGAGGCATTTTCCAACCTACATCACCTCTGGCGTAGACAAAATATTCAGCCATTAATCGAAGGACATATGTACTGTGCTACAGTTCATTGGAAGACGTGAAGCTAGCTATATTTGACCACAGCTCTTTGTCTTCAATTTCTCGTCTTGCGTGGCATGACACAAACAGTAGTCATGAAGCTACGTGTAGTTAGTAAAAGCATTTAACAGGTGGTTTGAACTATCTAACTGGTGCCCTAGCCATGATACAAGACAATGATAGGACAACATCGACCGAGAACACGACTCACATTCATTTTTAATGGTGCAGGTGTATTCACTTCTTACCTTCCAGGTTCGTTGATATGTGGGTCATTAGCGTACGCGTTCTAAACGTGAGTCTTACTTCATCTACTTCAGCTTGGACTGCTGAGTAGAAACACCAAGTAAATTAAAGAGCGTGGAACATACGAACCCAGGACAATCACTTCCTTCATAAGATTAATACACATTGAGATGAAGAACCACTCCACAGTCTAGTAGCGATGAAAAGCCTTGATCTAGTAGACAATCATCCTCATCTCACTATTATCATTACTGTAAAAGGTCAATGATACTCATGCAGAAAACTATTGAAGAATTTAGATGTTAGATACAGTGGATGCTTTTGAACTGCTGATGTTAAATGGTTGGAGGAAATCGGCCACAGGAAGCCTTCGACACCGCCTAGGTTTCGTGTTAGTTGGCACTCATTGGCCAGTTAGTCAGTCAATAAGGCGTACCTGTAACCTTGAACGAACTCATGTCCCTCCTCATGAGATTCGAACCCACGTCACACAGTGCTACCTGCAATCAGAGACGTGGCCATAACTGAGCTATGCGGCCGGTAATTGATCTCCTGTAGCACTACATTGGATACTGTCATCTGGCATTAAAAAATTCAAAGTACACCATGAAGTTGAGCTACCTAGAATGGTGGCCACATACATTGCAAACCTGACTGATAGAATTCAGTCTGCATCAAACAAAGGACTACACAAATCACACTAGTTACTAGTGTCCAATTAAAGTATAGTAGAGGCCCTTGACTTCAAACACTTTTCTAGCTTATATTAGACAGTAATGAAAATCACCAGCATTAAAAATCAGCAGATTGAAGGAAATCCGAAAAACACGAAGAATAATTATTTCGAGTCACCTATTAACGACCATTATGAAACTACAAAAATACTTCAATTTGTAAAACTTGTTAAAATCTCCTGGTTTGAGATATTCCATTCAAACAGTGAATATTATATGACACTCAGTGGTGATAAGATAGGGTTGATTCTTCCTTTATGCAAAAACATTCAATAGATAGTTTTGATCGTATACGATTTATGAACTGTAGTTCATTTACCGCTCTATTAACCAAAGAAAAGTATAACTTAATAGATTTTAAAATTAATTTTAAAATTATGTATAATATTGGCCTTTTTTCAAAGTCTGAAGCTTCAAGTCTGTAATTGTACTCCTAGCTAGCATTTTCCTTGGGCGCACCTCAGAATATTTGGGGCGAAAAATTCGGGAGCATTGCAGAACGTGGGACAGTTATCTGCAGTACCCCCGAATTCAATGCTAGCTGGGACAGACACAACGACCGAAGCTTACAATAATTCCAATCTAATTGTAACCCATGCGTCGATAACGCATTTTTATGGTAATTTAATATTTTAGCTACCTAAAATGAACCAACTACTGAAATAACGCTGATCATTCTTAAAAGGAAGCTTAATTAGTGCAACGAAACTTTAAAAATAGGACTTGCAACTGAAATAATGTATTTAATGCTGAAATAAAGCTGTAAAAACTCCCAATATGTGCTGAATTGAGTCACTCTGTTCTAAGGCAATGCCGGTAAGTGCTGAATCTGGGCTGAAACAACGCTGACTAGCAAGCCCAATAGGTTTCAGAGCTACTTATGAAGATGCCTAGAAAAAAGCCCAGCGTGCTGAATTAGTACCAGTCATACTGACAACCAGCAACGAATCCTAGCCTGTGCATATAATCAAATAATTTAAGAATTTACTCAATATAGAATGTGAGTTAATTCAGCATTATACTGAGATTGGTGGGTAACCATGCAATGCTCCTGAAATCAATGCTTGTTGCTTAAAGTAAAACTTAATAGTTTTTGAAGCCATGCAACAACGGGAACCTAAAATTATGTTTAATATTGACCTGGGTAAAAAATATTCGCTTCTTTACAAATTCTGAAGCCTTAAGATTGTAATTCACTGACACAACGAGGGATGGTGAATGTTAACTTCAGACTCATTGGTGAGGCTAAGGTATTATGGCCAGAGTTAAGGCCTTTCAAAAGTTGATCTACAAGAACCGATTAGGCACACGGAATGCTATGAAATCAAATCATGTCTGCCTTTTTGGACTTGGATAGGATATATACAGTATTCAAGTTATTCTCTGAGTACCTTTTCTGCAAATCTATGCTGTTAGGTAGGGTCATGGCTTCTACAAGATTTAGGGTTCACGGTTACGATTATGGTTAAATTATGGAGCACATTGAAGAATGCTTTCAGAGATATCAATGAATTTAGAAGTACCATGACCTAGAGTCACCTAGATGAATAGGTATTATCTCGCACATGACACGATTTCTCTATAGATCATCTGTGTATTGACTGGAAGACATTTTTGCAATACAGAGGCTAAAACTACACAGTGAAATATTAGGTTTGCGGTAGTTCTCAATGTACATTTCAACGATTATGCAACTTTTTTGCGTTTGGGTTATGATTGGTTGTTCAAGGTCACCATCTTTTGGCTATGACTGCTTACTTTCGCCGAGTTGACTTATTATTTGAATGTCCATAGATTTATATTAATCGAATTGATAATAAGAATGGGGTGGGGTATCAGACACAGATGACGGTATCAAATTAAGGCAACTTTACACTCACGCATTTGTGATTCGACTCCATCCATTTTGAGCTAAGCGCGCAAAACAGATCCAATATCCAATGTCGTTTGTACGAGCTAGTATAAACCAATTTGATTTCTTTGTGCTAGCTTCTTGATTGTAAGGTATAGGTTCCTGGTCTTCGGTAAACGTCTACGTAGCTCATCCCATCACTTGACTGTAGTAGCTTTGGTTGACTCCAAAAGGAGTAGTGCTGGGATCAATTATACGTGGTTTGTAGTCTGAGGTGTGTTAAGACTGTTACTAATGTGAATGGAGTTGATCCTTTCGCCAGTTAGTCCTTCGGTATCGTCGACAAGAGAAAAGATATAATTAGTGAAGTTATTAAGTCTAAGAGACAGAAACGGAAAAAGGGAAGCGTAACAACAGTCAGCTGATTAAGTTTGAAGAATAATATATATATATATATATATATATATATATATATATCGGTAATAATAATAGTAATAATAATTATAATAATAATCAGTTGTCAGGAGAGTAAGACGGGAGAGAATGTAAAGAAGTAAAATGACGAGTTTAATTGTCTCCCCCTGAATGGTGTATGCGATTTTAAGGAGATAGGCCATTTGGATGCAGTCCTTGTATCGCTGCATGGTTGTCCAGCCTTCGCTTAAAGGCGTCCAAAGACGTTGCCATAGCTACATCTGCCGGTAGGGAATTCCAGGGACGGCAAACCCGCAGTGAAAAGAAGTGGGAGCGCACCCGGGTCCTTGCCCTCTGGTGAGCTATCCTTCTGGGATTTCCACGTGGGAGCCTATACCTACTCAATGGCAGAACACCTTTGTTTGGGTGATTCTGGTCATTTGTTATTTTGTAGGCAGTAATCAAATCCCCCCTAAGCCGACGGTAGCTGAGTGTGAACAGGCCTAATTTCTTCAGCCTTTCATCATATGGTTTATTTCGGAGACCAACCACTCCTTTTGTTGCCCGTCGTTGGACTCTTTCCAAGAGGTTGGCGTCTCTTCTCAGGATTGGGGGTGCAACAATATTATGCACTTCAAGATGTGGCCTGATGTATGTTTTGTACAACCTTAGAAAGAGCTCAGCAGTGAGTGCACCTAACTGTATATGCGTAAAGTGTATGACTGCATATGCCCTCGTTACATCCCCTGTGTAATTTTCGCTTGTGTCCATTTTTTCCGTTAGAACTAGACCTAAGTCGCGTTCCGACGTTGTGCAGGACAAGCTTTCATTGCACAGGGTGTAACTTGCATTCTGCAGTCTATAGTTGCGCAACTTCACTACTTTGCACTTTTTCAGGTTGAAAGTCATGCCACTGGCCACCGCCCAGTCTTCCAGAAGGTTTAGGTCTTCCTGTAGCCTATCTGAATCCTCCGGACACTTTATCGCCCTCCACATTTTTACGTCGTCAGCGTATAGGAGAGTCGGGCAGATTAGACGGCGTGGTAGATCATTGATAAAAATCAAAAACATCAGTGGTCCTAGGATAGAACCCTGCGACACTCCTGATGACGATCTGTGCCAAGATGATCGGACTCGGTTAACCTTAGTGCAAAATTGCCTGTCGGCTAGGTAGTCCTTTAACCATGACAGAAGTGTCTCACCTTTACCTGCCTGGCTTATTTTATGTAGGAGAAGGTCATGGTGAACAGTGTCAAATGCCTTCTCTAAGTCTAGGAAGACCACATGGACTGATGTGGTCGTCAATAATACTTTCCAGTACTTTTGATACCACTGAGAGTAGAGCTACTGGTCTATAACTAGTAGCGTTTTGCCTGACCCCACCTTTGAAGATTGGAGAAAGGATGGCTCTTTTCCACTCTCTTGGCAGTGTCCCCGAAACCATTGAGTGTTGGAACAAGTCGCACAGGGGTCTACAGAGAGCCTCGGCGCACTGTTTCAGAACAGATGGCCTGATGTCGTCACAACCTGGGGACTTCCCAGGTGTGAGTCGCTTTACCTTTCTAAGTACTATAGCTGGGTTTATTTGGGGAGTAGCCGCTAGGTCTTCCTCCTGTGAAATAGTGGTGCCACCATTTTGGTCCTTAACTGTAGTATCCACATTGCTGTTTAGCTGTTTGACGAAGGATGAGCTGAGTGTTTCAGCCACCACCAGACTAGTGAGATATTTACCGTTTGGGCCTAATAAGGCGCATGCGTCCTGGTTTGTCGGTTTTCTCTCCGACATGAATCGGTACAAGTTTTTGGGGTTTTCTGGGAGCTTTTTTAGCAAGGTTAGCCTGGAATGACCTCCTGTCCCTCCTGACTCTTGCATTACACCGGTTCATGAGTTCGAGGTATGCATCGTGCCGGTCTGACTCTTAGATACACGCCACATAAACCAAACCTTCCACCTGCTTGCAGAATTCGTCTGGTGCCTCTCTTCAAACATGAGGTCTTTCTCTTGGGCTGTGTTGTGACTAAAGGGACGGTATTCGAGATTGCTATATGAATAATCTTTTTTTACCACTTCCTAGTGTTCATCCACAGATAGGTCGTCCCATGCTAAAGGCCAGTCTGCGTCGGAAAAGAGCCTCCGCATTTTAGCATAGTCAGCTTTGCTGTACCACAGACATGGTCGATTAACGTCCCACTGCAAACACTCACGGAGAACAAGATCGAAACCTATGACTGCATGGTCACTACTTACTAAAGGAATCATGATCTGGAGCTTTTCGGCGAGTAGTTGGTCACTCGTTAGAATATAGTCTAGATTTGATGACTTTCCATGACTGAAATTATCCAGCATGCTTAAGGTCATTAACGGAGTGAGACGCTCAAAGGTCATTTTCGTCCATGTTAGTCGGCCGTGTTGGATTACATTTCCGTAGCCGTTCGTTTGCACATCGGTTTTCCCGTGTATCCTGCATTTATTGACAACCCATCTTGATGCGCACTGTTCGCAAATGCTGCTTTTCACCTAATTTTGTTTCCGTTGCTGTTAAAATGACTAATTTCATATGTTTCGGAAGTTTTTACCACCAGGGCAGTGCATTCATTTCATTACAAATGTTTCACACGTTGTTTTCATGCCTGGTTGCAATGTTTTAGTCGTTTTTCAGTTAATAATGAAGTAGTTCTGCGTAGAAGTTTCGGAAAACAGACACGTGAACGTGTTTAGCTGAGAAAAGATGTTGGTCTTGGTCCATTCGCTGGTTGCTGTTATTGTCTCTTGATCACTTGATTAAGTAGTACGTAGAAATCTGGAAAAAACAATGTCTTTCACATGCATGTTTACAGCTTGCAGCAATCTACGAGTCAATCTGGTGAGGAGAATACGATCAGGTTTGATATTGGTAAGATTTACGAAGAGCATATTAAACCTAGATATTTCAGAATGTGGTTTGAATTTGCGAAAACTTTGAAGCTTTTCGAGAAGCTGAGTACACCATCAATGTATATTATCAGTTGAAGAATCAGATATATTGTCAGAGAATCTAAATCAAACACGGTTGAGTCACATGAGAAGTGTGAATCTGTTATGCCTGTATGTAGTTTTGGAACTGAAAGAAACTTGAAAGCAATCAGAAACACCTACATGTTAAGTGTTGCGTATGTTTATTAATGCCGAATGTACTAGGTCCAAATACATGAACTAAGAGCATCTGTAGCAAAGCCGGTGTTAACAGCCATTCAGTGTGTTGCAAAACCACTCCAAAAGCGGATAACATGGTGGTTTGGTGAGTGTACGAACTATCTCAGTTATAGGTAAGACTTTAATTAGCAAGAATAACGTTCCGGGTTGTGGTCTACAACAAGCTGAAGAGCTGATTATTATTCGGGGTGAAAATATTGGCTGAATACAGATTGCTTGCTTCACTTCAAATAATGAAATTCCTATTTTGTGGATGTTTGTGATTTCTCGGTGTCTTTAAATACGGGTGCCAATGTTCTTTAAGAAAACTAAATAAATTTTCCTAGAACCATTGATTTTCTTTTTCTGGGCGAAACATCTGTTAATACCTTTAGAAGATTAAGTAGCAAAGTAGGATTTTCTGTCATTGAGAATTGTGGTCGTCGTGTTTCGAATTAATATTGCGCTTGTAACTGTTATAACCCTATGGATATAGGTTTTCCCTCATGGTACATTATGATATCTAGAAGCCATAAGCACACTGTCTTCGGTAAATTTATTCTTACTTTTTAGGTGACTGCAAATAGTGAGTCATTTGAGGTGATAAGATGAACACCTCTAAATGTTTTCGTGGAGATTAGGATATATTCATTTTTTCGACTAGGAGACGATCCTTCTACCAAGAAGGTTCCCAGGATGTCTCCTTCACTTTGAATTTCAAAGATAACGTTAGGTTGCTCGATAAGGTAGTAGTGATGGGAGATTACCTTCAGTGGAAGCCACTTTAAGGTAGCTACGTAGCTTTAGGTAATGCGTCATAGAAGGAAGCAGCGTAGGTTAATTATGTCGAAATATATTAAACGTTGTATAACTGGTCAAATCATGGCTCTTACATAATAGTTAGTCTTACGAATAATGAATGCACCGTACAAACGTTTAATTTGATTTGCATACCTAGTTCATAAGCATTTTACCTACATGTGGTATACATTTAAGGCTGATAGGCTGTGTGATGAGATCTGCGAAACACGGTTGCATCATGATTAAAGCAAGAAAAACAGGTCAAGTATGGGTAAGATGCACGAACTGACAAACTGTAAGAGGAGAAGATGAGTTATGCTTGAGTGCCTTAACTTCTTAATGTGAACAGTCAGGCGAAATATTGTTTTAGAAATCGCTAAGACATGGGAAGACCAAGATTGGTCAGAAGAAAGAATTAATCCAAGATACCTAACGTCAGACTTAATTTCTGTATCACTCTCATCAATTATACAACAGTAATGGGGTTAACAGCTTCATTTAGCTTCCTCTTACATCAGAAACCGAAATTAACTGCCTGACATTTGGAAAGGTTCAGTTTAAGACCATTAGACGAAGACCATTTGCTAATTCCTGATGGAAAGCTGTTCATTTTAGTACTGTCTAGCTGGGAGTTGACAGACACTGAAACAGTTAGATCATCGACAT